TGTTTTATAATCTTTGGATGCCAGTAGGCTTATTAAGAGAAACCTTGAGCAAAGATTCACCAGAATACTTCTCCAGTAACGAGCTATACACCCCCAATCCTAGCTCTTCCATATGTATGAAATATTACATATGTACATATGTATCACCTGGGTGCATATTCGAACTAGAATAGCCTCGAAACCATGGGTGATATTATTGTGACACCCCTAGTTATATGTATATCAATGAATAGGTGGCCATTTTGGAAAAGATGGCCGTAACGACCACCAGGGGGAGCTGCTGAGGTGGATCCACATCCCAAAATAATCAGTAGAGTTTCATGCTTTTAACCCAAAATGCACGATTCTACCAAAAATTCTTCCTTAACGCCCCACTATAAAGCACTATTTCCACAGAAATGTGCTCAATACAATAAAAATTTAAAATTATGATATTAAAAATTTGTATGGATCTATGTTTTAACCAGCTCATTATTTTTGTTTCTAAATGTAAACTCGATATTGTATTATGCTAAAAGCTTTTAATAATACTGACTAGAAAGTGTCAACGAAATACCCCGGGGGTAGTTCCAACTTTTTACGCATGTTTATTTAAGTTTAAAAGGGGATAAACTGAAATTATTGACATTTTATAAAATATTGCAAAGTATCTTTTTCTAGGGATATCGCCCAGCTCTACCTTAAATTTCAATCTAGTAGGCGGCAAGTTGTCATGCCCAAATTTTGCCAGGCTATTGAATTGGTGAATTGAATGGATGAGCCATGCCCCAAATTTTTTTATTATTTATGGCATGGTCGATAGGCTATATCATCCAAACTGCCCTTGTTATGCAGCTCCAACCTGTTTCAAAGAGGATTACGAAGGCCTAGCGAATATTCATTACTGATCAGTGTGATGTAGCTCATGACGTTCTTCACTTATGAAATGAAATGGGGTTTAATGGCCTCCTGTTTTTGCCGAGGCAGCGGCACTATGGCATACTCTTATATCAAATTCCAACTGCAAAAGGATCTTTTATGTGCACAGCAATGTATACCCAGGCTCTCAGTTTTTCGTCCTGTACCACTGACAAAGGGAAACCACGTTTGAAAATCCTGACGAAATTTCTTGGTCAATGCAGGGGTCGAACACCTGACATCAAGGCCAGCAAGCCAGCGTCTCTTACCCACCGTAGCTCCCTCGTTCACTTATGAGCACAGTGAGAGTCTGTTGTAGTCAATAGGCCTGTTACTGAATGTTCAGGGTGAGTGTAACAAGACTTTCATTCAGAACTGATTTAGGGGAGAGTGGGCTCGAAATTGTGTAGCATCAAGTATATTCTATTCAAAGTTCACTTTTTATACGCCCACATTGAAATGTGGACGTATATTGCCGTCCGTCTGTCTGTCGGTCCGTCTATCCGTCCGTCCGTCCATCCGTCCGTCCACAATTGCTTGTGGACGCTCTAGAGGCTAAAGTTCATATCCGATTGACTTCAAATTTATATACAGTATTTAAGGCCATGAGACGAAGAAGCCTATTGATTTTCAGCGATTTCCGATAATTACTGCCAGAGTTATGGCCCTTGATCACTTCAAAAAATCTTGTGGACGCTCTAGAGGCCAAAGTTAATATCCGATTGACTTTAAATTTATACACAGTGTTTAAGGTCATGAGACGAAGAAGCCTATTGATTTTCATCGATTTCCGATAATTACTGCCAGAGTTATGGCCCTTGACCACTTCAAAAAATCTTGTGGACGCTCTAGAGGCCAAAGTTAATATCCGATTGACTTTAAATTTATACACAGTGTTTAAGGTCATGAGACAAAGAAGCCTATTGATTTTCAGCGATTTCCAATAATTACTGCCAGAGTTATGGCCCTTGATCACTTCAAAAAAATCTTGTGGACGCTCTAGAGGCCAAAGTTAATATCCGATTGACTTTAAATTTATACACAGTGTTTAAGGTCATGAGACGAAGAAGCCTATTGATATTCAGCGATTTCCGATAATTACTGCCAGAGTTATGGCCCTTGATCACTTCAAAAAATCTTGTGGACGCTCTAGAGGCCAAAGTTAATATCCGATTGACTTTAAATTTATACACAGTGTTTAAGGTCATGAGACGAAGAAGCCTATTGATTTTCAGCGATTTCCGATAATTACTGCCAGAGTTATGGCCCTTGTTCACTTCAAAAAATCTTGTGGACGCTCTAGAGGCCAAAGTTAATATCCGATTGACTTTAAATTGATACACAGTGTTTAAGGTCATGAGACGAAGAAGCCTATTGATTTTCTGCGATTTCCGATAATTACTGCCAGAGTTATGGCCCTTGATCACTTCAAAAAATCTTGTGGACGCTCTAGAGGCCAAAGTTAATATCCGATTGACTTTAAATTTATACACAGTGTTTAAGGTCATGAGACGAAGAAGCCTATTGATTTTCAGAGATTTCCGATAATTACTGCCAGAGTTATGGCCCTTGATCACTTCAAAAAATCTTGTGGACGCTCTAGAGGCGAAAGTTAATATCCGATTGACTTTAAATTTATACACAGTGTTTAAGGTCATGAGACGAAGAAGCCTATTGATTTTCAGCGATTTCTGATAATTACTGCCAGAGTTATGGCTCTTGATCACTTCAAACAAAATCTTGTGGACTCTCTAGAGGCCAAAGTTAATATCCTATTGACTTTAAATTTATACACAGTGTTTAAGGTCATGAGACGAAGAAGCCTATTGATTTTCTGCGATTTCCGATAATTACTGCCAGAGTTATGGCCCTTGATCACTTCAAAAAATCTTGTGGACGCTCTAGAGGCCAAAGTTAATATCCGATTGACTTTAAATTTATACACAGTGTTTAAGGTCATGAGACGAAGAAGCCTATTGATTTTCAGAGATTTCCGATAATTACTGCCAGAGTTATGGCCCTTGATCACTTCAAAAAATCTTGTGGACGCTCTAGAGGCGAAAGTTAATATCCGATTGACTTTAAATTTATACACAGTGTTTAAGGTCATGAGACGAAGAAGCCTATTGATTTTCAGCGATTTCTGATAATTACTGCCAGAGTTATGGCTCTTGATCACTTCAAACAAAATCTTGTGGACTCTCTAGAGGCCAAAGTTAATATCCTATTGACTTTAAATTTATACACAGTGCTTAAAGGTCATGAGACGAAGAATCCTATTGATTTCAGCAATTTACGTTAATTACTGCCAGAGTTATGGCCCTTGATCACTTTGAAAAATCTTGTGGAAGCTCTAGAGTCTAAAGTTAATATCCGATTGACTTTAAATTTATACTTAGTGTTTAAGGTCATGAGACGAAGAAGTCTATTCATTTTCAAAGTTAATATCCGATTAACTGCAGATTGATACACAGAGTTTAAGATCTTGAGGCGAACAAGTATATTGATTTTCAATGAATTTTTATGACTTGGAGCAGCTAAATTCATGATACAGTATTAAAAGTTTTGTATACAAAACGTTAGCATGGGGCAGAACTTTATAAAAACCAAACAAATTCCATTGGTTTTCTGAGTTGTTGCTCTTAATCAGATTTTAGTGTATTATAAATGTTTCATTACCGAAAAAAGTAAAAATATGCGACAACTCTTGTTGACTGCCCAGATGATTTAGCTGCTGTGGGCGTATGTTTCGTTGCCTGGCAACCTATCTTTCATCAAATCTGAATGATACCTGGTCCCTAGTGTTATTCCAGTCTACATTGATAGTATTTATTGCACATGCTCTCCAGATAAGAATATGACATCACCATTTGACATGACTCGTGGAATATGTCTAGCCTCGTTCTTCTAGTCCCTTGTTAGAAATGGTGCTGAAATGCATTATGGTACACAATTCGTGTACCAATGGTAAAATGTTTATTTTGTCTTGAATATTGAATATCAGAAGCCCACCTTTTCGTTGTAAGATCACAACATGAATGTTGATTTAAATTGACAAATATTTCGTGTTTTCAATGTCGAAGACTTTGGATAATATTGAGTTGGAGACTTAGGTACTTTAAAACCCATTTCATTCCTCATGTTGTAATAATGAATTTGAAAAAATTTCAGGTGGAAGAAAGAACAACAAGAAGTCTATTCACTTAGATGATATACGGCGGATGGTTCGTTTTGTACTGAATTTTGTAGAGGAACATGCCATCTCCTTACCAGGACACATACCAGGAATCAGCAGAGATGATGTGAAGGTGATACCCAGCAACTTCACCAAGGCAGAGGTGTGGCGCAGGTACCAAGATTTATGTGGAGAAGGACAGAAAATTATTGCCCAATTAACTTTTCGAAAGCTTTGGAATCAGGTACTTTCCTATGTGGTAATTGCCAGACCAGCAAGTGATCTCTGCTCAGTGTGTCAGGACAACAACTACCTGATTCTTAGAAATGTAAGTACCCTGATCAGAGCTCTAACCTGAACAATTTTTCCACCAATTGATTAATTATTTACTCAGCCAGTGTACCAAACTATAAGTGGAAGTAACTCCATTTTTGTCATTCCAAAGAACCTCAATGCATAATGGTTCATAGTAAATCCCTGTGCAGTCTCAAGTTGTCAAAGAGCCTTGCTACAGACCATGCCTGGTCTGGCCTTGCTTTCTAAGGTCTTGTTTATTATTAAGAAATGGAAAGAATACATTTTACAAAGCATTAAAAGAGGCAACTACATTAATCAGTAGAAATGATCGCCAACGAATGTTTTTCATTATATATTTTTCAGGTTAATGTTGATGAAGATGCTTAAAAGAAGACTCTGTGTAAGCAAGAGCAGCATCTTTCTCGAGCAACGGACGAGAGATCCTTCTATCGTGCATGGTGTTCTGAGGCAAAAGCTGTATGAGAGCAGCTACAAATCAACACCCTATCGAAGAATCAACCATGCTCTAGAGAAGCAGCTTTCCACTATAGCTTTGATTTTGCCCAACAAATTCATTATCCCTCAAATTAATTTCAACCTGGTCCTGTTTATTTTAAAACTCCATGGAATATTTGGCATTCATGCAGAGGCATTTCCCCAACAAATCAATTACCTTCTGGATGAAGCTGTGGCCTGCGGCAAAGGGGCCAATGTTGTGATTAGCCTCCTGCACAATTTCCTTGTCATTCTATGGTATTGGAGAGACTGACTTACGAATAAACGCAGATAATTGTGCAGGTCAAAATATTAATAATATAATGTTGCACTACCTATGCTGGTGCACAATCATTGGTCTTCACCATTCGACCTATTTGCACTTCCTTATGGCAGGGCACACCAAGTTCATTACAGATTGGTGCTTTGGCCTTTTTAAACAAAAATTCAGGAAAACATTTATGTCCTCACTGAGGGAGATCGAACAAACTGTGGAAGGTTCCACTTGTCAAAACAAAATAAACAGAAGCCAGCTTGTCAGAGATCAAGATGGGAAAGTGATTGTCCCTATGTATGCGTGGGATACATTTCTTGGGGGATAATTTAAGAAATTTGTGAGTATCCGGAACAGCATCACCTCTAGTTTACCGATCAACAGCCGGGTGTTCTTTTCTACAAAGCTTTCAAGGATAGTGAGGAACAGAGCATTAACATCTTGAAGCACAGCATTAACCCTGTTGACATTGACCCTGAGGCAAGACCAGCTGAGATTGTCCCTATTGGTCTCAGTGATACCAGGAAGGCTTATCTTTTTAAGAAGATAAGACCTTTTTGCAAAGCAGAAGAAAAAGACTTTGTGTGCCCTAACCCAAATAGTTACTAAACCATTGACTTTGTGTATAATATTAGGTCGCAGTTAATTAATTGTCTGTTTCTCATGACCCGCCCGCATGTCCTTTTTCATCTGTAATAATTACGCACTTTCATAATTATTTGGTCAGGAATCCACTTTTTATGTTACAGGTCTAAAAAAAGGACCCTTTTTATTATAACTTTGCTAAAACTGATTTAAATCTTTTTCTTAAACATACATTATGCAAGAGCTAAATCTACCTATTGTAGGTCTTTCTTTTGGCCTGAAATGTTATATAAACTATTAATTAGACATTAATTAACGTATCCAGACCATAATCAACTCTCAATGTCAACGCTAGCCTGCGATATTTGTTGGATTATGATTCGATATGCTGCGTAACTTTCCTTCTCGATTTAACGATTAAATTGGTAATCGAGACTATGATTTTTGTCAAACCGACTTTAGAAATGATGATCGAGACTATTCAGAACTTTCGATGGCTTATTTCTCGGTTCATAGTGGATCAATTTGACTGAGATTTTCAGCAAATTGCCTTTACATTATCTTGTTTTTAACTATTATAGTGAGAACTGCCAACTCGTTATCTAATCTCCCATAATGTATCTTTAAAATTATAATGAATTAGATTTGTGTCAGATACACTTTATTCACTTCTTTGGTGCTATCAAATTTGGGGTTTATCATATTGAAAATATTAATTTATGTGCCATAAAATGTAACTGAAATATAATTGACCTTTACATGGCCATTACCCCAGCCCTGGCATATACACCATACAGTGGAATATGAAGGAAATTTTGCCCGGACAGCGACACTACAGCCTACTCTTATATTGAATTCTGTCCATCTGGAAACATAGGTTTATCTCTGCAAGATCTCGGATCGTTTCAATATTGGCGTGTATTAGACCATAACTTCATGGATTATGGCCCCTGATTGTACGAAAAATCATGTTTATATATGCCCACATTGAAATGTGGTCGTATATTGTCACAACCCCCGTCCGTCGGTCCGGCGTCCACAATTGCTTGTGGACGCTCTAGAGGCTAAAGTTAATATCCGATTGACTTTACATTTATACACGGTGTTTAAGGTCATAAGACAAAGAAGCCTATTGATTTTCAGCGATTTCCGATAATTACTGCCAGAGTTATGGCCCTTGTGTACGCTCTAGAGGCTAAAGTTAATATCCGATTGACTTTAAATTTATACACAGTGTTTAAGGTCATGAGACGAAGAAGCCTATTGATTTTCAACAATTTTCAATAATTACTGTCAGAGTTATGGCCCTTGATCACTTCAAAAAATCTTGTGGACGCTCTAGAGGCGAAAGTTAATATCCGATTGACTTTAAATTTATACACAGTGTTTAAGGTCATGAGACGAAGAAGCCTATTGATTTTCAGAGATTTCTGATAATTACTGCCAGAGTCATGGCCCTTGATCACTTCAAAAAATCTTGTGGACACTCTAGAGGCTAAAGTTAATATCCGATTTACTTTAAATTTATACACAGTGTTTAAGGTCATGAGACGAAGAAGCCTATTGATTTTCAATAATTTTCAATAATTACTGTCAGAGTTATGGCCCTTGATCACTTCAAAAAATCTTGTGGACGCTCTAGAGGCTAAAGTTAATATCCGATTGACTTTAAATTTATACACAGTGTTTAAGGTCATGAGACGAAGAAGCCTATTGATTTTTAGCGATTTCCGATAATTACTGCCAGAGTTATGGCCCTTGATCCCTTTGAAAAATCTTGTGGACGCTCTAGAGGCTAAAGTTAATATCCGATTGACTTTAAATTTATACACAGTGTTTAATGTCATGAGACGAAGAAGCCTATTGATTTCCGGCGATTTCTGATAAGTTCTGCCAAAGTTATTGCCCTTGATCACTTTGAAAAATCTTGTGGACGTTCTAGAGGCTAAAGTTAATATCCGATTGACTTTAAATTTATACACAGTGTTTAATGTCATGAGACGAAGAAGCCTATTGATTTTCGGCGATTTCTGATAAGTACTGCCAGAGTTATGGCCCTTGATCACTTTGAAAAATCTTGTGACGCTCTAGAGGCTAAAGTTATCATCCGATTGACTTCAGATTGATACAAAGTTTAAGGTCTTGAGACGAACAAGTATACTGATTTTCAATGAATTTTTATGACTTGAACAACTAAATCCATGATGTTAAAAGTTTTCTATACTAAACATTAGCATGGGGCAGAACTTTATAAAAACCAAACAAATTCTAATGGTTTTCTGATAATTACTTAATTAGTTGTTACTCTTTATCAGATTTTAATGTACTATAAAAATATGCGACAACTCTTGTTGACTCCCCGGACGATTTAGCTGCTGTGGGCGTATGTTTCGTTGCCTGGCAACCTATCTTTAGATTGTGGATGAAACTTGAAATGTATGTTTATAACCCAGAGGTCTCGGTTCCTGTTGATATTTGTGTATATTGGACCATAACTTGTGGGACCCTATTACAATTTTGATCCAATTTAAATAAAACATTCAAATATATCACCATTACACCCTAAGGCTGGTTGAGTTTGAATTTTGTGAATATTAGTCCAAAACTGTTGGACATATTGGCCGATCCTTGTACACAAAGTGTGTAAAAGTATGTAATACCAATGTTATGGGCCCTCTAGAGGTCACAATTTTTATCCGATTTTGATGAAACTAAAAAATATTTGTTTATATCCCAAAGATCTTGGTTTCTTGTGCATGTCAGACCATAACATACTTGATAATGGCCCCTGATTGTACGAAAATTCACTTTTTTTTTTAGCTTGTTTTCTGTTTATCTCTTGCAAAATGTGGATGTGTCTTGAACAGCAATCACTAGTTGATAAAAAAATTCATATTTGTGAAAATGGAATAAAATCTAGATCATTACATCCATTTATTTATATGAAGGGTTGTTATTTTTTAATGAGTAGACTTTAAAATGCATATCTATATTTTAACACTATTGACCATTATGACATGTTTTTTTTTTTATAAGGATATGACGTCAAGCATCTGTGTCTCCTAACAGTTGATCTGTCATTGACATCATGATGTCACAGAGCTTTGCCCTTAAATACAGCCCCGAAGCCCAACGCCACATCATTTTAGGAATGGACGTCGGTCACAGAGCTTTGCCCTAAATACAGCTCCGAAGACAAAGGCCACAAGATTTTAGGAATTTGTTATGAGGTTATGACGTCAAACATCTGGCTCTCTTAACAGTTGATCTGTGATTGATTGTGTAATCAGAAATGTATTATACTAAGCATAAGGAAAACTCCTTGCAGCTATTCTATTTGCTTTAAATCCAAAATAAAAGAAGCATGTTTGGAATAGACTGTTTTTCAGTGTTTGGCAATTTTTCTAAAATGTGACAAAAAGTTTGGGATTTGATTTTATCCATTTAGTAAACGTAATAATGTCCCAACCCAGTTGGAACCACACCTTGGGTGTTGTCTTTGGTTTATACTACCAGAAAATCATGAGTTTAGATATTTAAATTGAAGGTTGCTAAGGACTATTGAGCGAAATTTCTTCTAAAAATGTCCCAAGACTTCGAAGTCCGTTTTCTCATTTTGGCGTTTTTCCCATTTCGAAACACTCTCAAACTTCAAAATATCATAAAATTCTTATTCCTGGTCCAAATTTTAAAAGAGTTACATTTTTGGAAAGCTCGGGCTGTAGACTATACAAATATGCTATCAAATCATTTTTCATAAAAATGACCAAGAGCCTGGTTTTGTGGGAGCAGCTCACATATGATGCCTGTAACGCGCCTTGAAGACTCTTATCAGAAAGTCTGTCATTGAGTCGACTGGCGTGGTTTCGGATCCCCTGTTGTACATGACAAGGAGTAGGGTCGCCTGTCCAACCTCGTTGGTTTTCTCCGGGTCCTCCAGTTTCCTCCCACTGCTAAAGACCCCTACGCGCAAGCGAATTATTGAAATAAAATTAAACCATATGTTAGTCCCGAAATGACCTAGTTTGTGTCGAGTGGACGTTAAACCCCATCTCTCTCTCTCTCTCTCTCTCTCTCTCTCTCTCTCTCTCTCTCTCTCTCTCTTATAATTCCCTGGTCTAATTGCTGTAAAATAGATGTTGTATTCGGTGGCAAAAATTTAATATTTATCTTACTGTATGTATCACAGATATGGGATGGGGCATTATCCATAGATAAAAGAATGTGACATCGTTGAGGCCTCATTGGACGGTTGAGTTGTTCGAGCCAATCAGAATAAATACCACTTGTCATCCAAGCCTTACGATTGGCCGTCAAATCCGTTCGGGCACGCTTTGCAGGACAATCACACATTTTGAACACAATATTGTATAATGATTCTTCATCACGGCAATTTATATATAATGTCGCTGTATTTGACATGAGAAACTCAAATCAAATACCAAGCGCTCTCTTACAAGAGATTATAAAATTATCAAAGTAATCAACAAAGACCTACACGAGCAAGTTTTAATCTCGCCGATAAATGATTGGCGATTGCTTGTTAATCTTTTGAGGCTTCACACCCACCGAGTTTTAATCTCTCCGATAATTGATTGGTGGCTTCAAACCCACCGATTGAAGGTCTGATTATGCAATGTTTATTCAATGGAAATCGTGTGACGGGACGGCTGATTGATGTCGTAATTCCGAATATTCAGAATACCGATCACTCATAGCTTTTTTGGCTGAAGTAATAAGGAAATAAATCGGGGCATGAAAATGATGTCGGATGTGACAGAGTGGCATAGTATTCAGATGTCGGATGTGACAGAGTCCACTGCAGTGTAAACATCTGGTATATCAAGGTTGTGGACCCTCTGGAGGTCACAATTTTGTGCAGATTTTGATGAAACTTGAAATGCATGTTTGTAACACTAGTATTCAGATGTCGGATGTGACAGAGTCCACTGCAGTGTAAACATCTGGTATATCAAGGTTGTGGACCCTCTGGAGGTCACAATTTTGTGCAGATTTTGATGAAA